CAAACCATTCTGTGATTCTAAGCAGCATTACTTCAGCCTCTTCTGTGCTACCTGGCAGTGTTCAGTTGTGGGCCGGACTGTTCCTAATACATGCCAATAAATTTATCATATCCCTGGACCTGAGGAGCAGATGTGCACCAGCAGAACACAAAGCACATAGGATACGTATGGCATACCTCATCCGTCTCATAACCAAGTGCTAAAAGATCATGTCCCTCAAGATGGCAAAGAGAGGTCTTGACTGCAGCAAATAGGAGCTATTCTGCAGAAGAGGTAGAATCTCTTATTAAGTCCTGTAGGCTTAAACCAGCACTGTAATTCTCCTTGACTGTCTCATGTTCAGGCTGACAAACATAACCTGGGCCGCCTAATTCCATCACACAGGTCCTCCCTAAGCCTTCCTCTGGAGATCACGTAAGGATCTGCTGACCACATTGCAAAGGGACCCCCGCACTGCGGGGGTATGGAGGGGGAAATCTCTGCTCCGTCCCCAGAAGGCATGGTCACGGCTGAGATTTCCTTTCTGGCAGCTGAGCCCAGGGAGAGGAGCCAGCCCGTATCCTCTGAGCAATTTGGCAAAAGGAACACAGAGATTTAGCTGGGGAGAACTTCAGTTTGGAAATGATCAGGAGAGCAAAGACCTTTTGTCCTTGGAGGCTTGCTTTCTATTAAATGTCTGCACAGTGCAGAGACCCCATGTTCTGACTTCTTTAAAACCAAACAGGCCCCCTCAGGATCATATTTGGGGAGTTATCAAAGGTAATCCTAAGTATTAGACGGAGTCACCTAGATGAGTAGTGGCTGGGATGCAGTGATCTGTACTTAAACACACCACAGCAGTCAGCTAATTGTGGCTGTGCAGCCCTGGGATCCAAAATCAGCCATCTAAGCACGGTGCTCTTCCAGCTCACTGAGCAGCAAGAGGTCCCTGAGCTGTGCCAAAAGTTCACACGTAGATAAAATCCTCCCCACGGAGCAGCACAGACATGCTTGAAGGCCTCCGCTGCTGCTCCAGCTGAGGACATTGCTGAGGCTGCCCTGTCAGTGGCAAAATATTCTTCACAACGTATCATGTCCCCCAGAACCGGGGCATTTGGGGGTAAAAATGTGAAGTCTGGTAATAGCAGGTGTTCCCAGTACCATACAGAGCAAGCGGGTAGCTCCCCTGTGCAAGTAGGAGCTGCGAGGAGGAGGAACAGCAGTTACTCACTGTGTCTCCTGGGCTGCGTTGGTACCCGCGCATCACACGCTGGCACCTGCCACGCCACCGCACGCCTTGGCATGTGTTCCCAGACTGACTCCTGGCAGGGATGCAGGAGAAAACAGCCCTCAGTGAGGTGCACCAGGCTACCACCTTCCTGTTGTTCTGGGCTTTGAATAACAAATATTTGCAAAAGAGCAACCAAACTCCGAGCACGACCCCCAAGGCAGAGCTTTATTGAGCTTTATTTACCATGGCAGGCGAACGTGGGAGATCTGCCTGGCCAGTCATCTGCCTGACCAGTCATCTGCCAGATAAATCATTTCTACAGCATACCCTTCAGTCCATCCCTTTTTACCTCTCATTGCGTGTTTCTTGGCTCGAGGCCACACGGGAAATATTTGTAACCATTCTCAATTAGCTATTTGTTTTTAAATTGTCCATTTGTATCCCTTTTATGTCCTAGCTGCTCTGGTGACATTAGTGAGCGATTGCACTGTTTCTGGTTTATGTCTACATGCTGACATAAGTTATGCTGTGTGATCAGTTAATGTGCTGGAACTGCATGACAATCTCTGCCTTCCTGCCTGCTTCCATTTGGGAGCAATGCAAATCCTAATAGCAGCTCTCAGAGTTAAATACAGTTTGATAAATAATAATAGAAAAGTAGTATTAGATTATTACTCTACATTACTTCTTTGAAGGCAATTGCATCTGCCAGTTCACAATATATTTTTTTCTCCCCAACACTAGAGAAAAATTTGACAGGCTGAATTACCATTTCATTTCCAACTAGGAAAACACTGACAAGCTTTAAAGGATGGTTTTGAAGAGAAACCATGTTCATCTAAAGATGTAAAGTACAGTTGGATGAAGAAACCTCAAGGGGTCCTAGGTATGGGAGACTATTAACTGCAGTACCATCTAAGCAAAATTTCTGCTATAAAAACCCACACCATATGTGTTTTTCCGGGCTATGACTCATCATCTAAATACAAATTCAACTCCCCTTTCAGGCAGTTTATAATTAAACCTATTTTCTTGTTTCTACTGTGTTTATGTATGATTTTACATCTGTCCTAACTCTATTTCTTTGTCCCCGTTAGTGAATGTAAGTCATATGGTTGGTCTGACACACAGTGCTTTTTTCCAAGGTTGAGTGAAACTTGGTGGTTTCAGCTTAAATGAGTGGTGGATTTGCTAGAGCCCAACATGATGTTGATGTTGCTCACCTGCCATTTTGCAGACAGTAGAAGAGGAACTCCTTCCACGTGTACTACTATGTCCATGTTATGGTGGTGCCAGGGCTCAGAGGTGTGCGGTTCACATGCTTCGGGTGCTGCCTGGATGATTCAAAAGAACCATAACAGAAAACACAGGAGATTTTGACCAGCCTCAGGTCTGTAAGTACATTTTAAACCCACAAAGTTTGAGTGTGTTTGAAATGTACTCAAATATTTCCTTCTTCACCATTGTGTCCTCATGACCCATTGAATCATCAAAGGCTTGGAGATGAAAGAAGGACTTATGGTTAGAAAATGCAAAGGACTCTCTGCTGAAGGGGGAATGGTTTGTTGTATCTCTTTTTTTTTTTTAATCCCAGAACAAATAGCTTTGTTGGATAATTTTCTGCGAGGGTTTTCACTCTAATGAATAACTGGGCTTCCAGAAAGCTATTTTATAAATAAAGTAAATAAGCTCCCAATCACAAAACCCACAGAAATCAATTGCAAAATCCCCACAGTGTTTTATGAGCCTTGAGTCACACTCAGGATGGAAAATTACTCAAACGGTTAGCCTGTAGAGAATCCAAAAAGAACATTGTCCCTTCAGATAATTTTAGCGACGACTTTGTTCGGGCTATTTTCTACATACGGTAACATAAGACCTGTTACCATACTCAACTGAAGAAACGACACCTCATATACCTAAACTACTTCTAGTGGCCTAAATTGGCACAGGCAGTTCAAATTCACCTGTGGTATAATTCAGCTGAGCCTGTGGAGCTGTACCAAAGAAGGATTTACTGAGCTGGCACAAGTATCTAATCTTTATATTTGCTATAAGAGCTTTTTACCTTTTCAGAAATGGCTGTAATTTGTTTTGGAGATGCATAAGTTTCCACCAGGTCAGAGTGAATCTGATGAAAAAGGACCCCTGAGGACCCTTAAGCCTTTCTCTCTAATGAGATGGGTATGGTGGTAGAACCACCCACCCTGTAGAGGGTTCATTGATTAAATATGAACTTCACATAAGAATGTATTATTTTCAACCTCAGAAATATTTACCAAAAAATCAGGGATCACGATCTACTGGACAAAAGGAAAACAGTCACAGCCCTTAAAGCTGGAGAAGACCGGGCCATACTCCTCGGGCTGGCCATGATGGTGTGCTCGATCATGATGTACTTCCTCCTGGGAATCACCCTGCTGCGGTCTTACATGCAAAGGTAATTTCGTGATGGGTAACCGGATCTCACACTCTCTGCTCCAGCTGACTTCTTGTGGCTTATTCTTTTGACTCTTTTTATTAAAGTTTCATAATTTTTCCTTTGGTCAACACAGACCTGATTTTCCACTTCCTTACCCCAGTATAAAATTGACATGACTACAGTGAAAGCAAGTTGAGTAATACCAGCATAAGTGAGGGAAGAATTAGATCCCTGTTTGACGATATCTTGATCCATAGGCTTTAGACTTGCCACAGTTTAACACCAGTATAATATCCCTATCAGCTGGTTGGCAGTCTGCTCTACCCTCTAAGCCTCTCAGGGGCTGTTGCTGCAAAACCCAGTCAAACTCAGGAGAAAAGAGCACAAATATTTAGCAGTCTCTGGAAAAAAGCACACTTTCAGATGAGGAATGGTTAATTAATCTGGGAAAGAAATCAAGCTGCTTTGTAGCATGTAGTTTCCATGTAGGTTATTACTTTCATTTTAACAAGTGAAATCCACTTGAAATATAGTAATTTGCTGAAAGTGAAAGATCATCTTTCATCATTACTGCACTGCACTTAATTTTTCTGAGGCCTTCTCTGGCTTCTTTCTCTGCCATGGAGAAGAAAGTATGGACCGTGATTGATTAGCAGCATTTGAAAACAGTTTTCAAACACCAGCCCTATTTAAAACCCAGCCCAGACTGTAATAAGACTGTCAACAATGTTTTTTCTGCCCTGATCAGTGGAGTTAGGAGGATGAAAAATGTGTAATTTGGGATCAAAACATTAGTTTGTCATGCCCAAAACCACCCTGAGGCAGCAGCCAATACCTGGCACAGGCTGCTTCTTTAGGCTTGTACAATTAAGAGCCTACAGTTAACTGGCAGGAGCATCCTCAATTATAATGGTAAACATATAGGAAAATATTCCTTCTTGACCCTGCAACAAAAAGGAAAAAGTAGCAATGCCTGGGGATGAACTGTACTGATTTGCAGCATCTTATTTGTGTGATAAAGGTATTTGTCCCTTTATATACAAACAAGGTTTAGATTTTGAAAACAGACATCAAGGCCTGTTAAGTATCAAAGAGCATTTGCTTTTCCAAATTGCTCTCCCAGACCTTTCAGCAATATCAGGGTCAGTCGCAGAGAGTGCTAAGGTCAAAACTGCTCATGTGGAAAGAGATTATATTACAAACTATGTGAAAAATTGCCAGAAGATATCAAAACACCTTTAAGGTATTAAATATTCCATCTTCACCAGTCTGTTGCAGGTAGGTGTTACGTTATTACACCCATCCATGAATGAAACAGCAGCCAGAAAGGTGAAAGTGAGGAGAAGATGACGACCCAGGAGTCTTTGCTGTCACTTCCCTTTGAACAGCCAAATTTCCTTGGGGTTATTCTCCTTTACAGACAGCAATACCCTCCAACAAAATAAAGCCTGGGAGGGGGAAAAAACCCATCCTTTAACTTGACTTCCTCACAAAAATCATAGCATAATGTGATATAAATGTAGAATGGAATACACAAGCAGCATTACTGCCAAAGTAAAATACCCAGAAAATTAGTCAGAAATCTTTAATATCACTCACCATGTAAAGCCTTTTGTAGGTTTGACAAGGGGTGGGAAGATCCTCACCTCATTCATGGCAGGGGGCAGGACACCCTTGCTGAGTGTGAGCTGAGGGGCTGAGTGGTAGCCCAGGGGTGAAACCTTTCCCTGAGCCCATGAAGGGCCTTGCACACTGTGCCCTTCCTGCTGCTCTTGTCCCTAAGGAAAATACAGCCATAGATGTTTAAATACAGGCAAGAACCCCAAATGAACATTGCCAGTGCACACCCAGGCTCCATCATTCTAGTTTTAGCTTCTGGGGAACTGAAGATAAGCTGAAAGCCTCCAGAACGATTGTATCAGCTGGATTAATTTACAGAAAACCAAGAAGCTGCCACTAGAAAAAGCCTTTCCGCGGGTGGAGCTGCATGCGGGCGTTTTGCTCTTCCCAGAGCAAGCTGCTGAGTTTTCCTCTACGATACCTCTGCTGATTCCCTTTGGTTTCAAATGTACGTTCTCCAGAGTAAAAGTTTTGGTTCTGTTTTCATTTATACATAGACATAAGTGAATCAAGGTATTTTTGTGCCCAAAGCACAAACCTTCGGTACTACAGAACCATACACTCTGAGATGTATGACCTCAGGAAGTCCAGCCTTTGCTCAAAGCCCTGCAACACGTACCATCTCCTACAAGATGCCCCCTGGTATAGCCCTGATGGAAAGTCTGAGCTGTGTCTAGTGCTTATTGACCATTCTTGCCATGCTCTGATGTCTCTCTTTTTCCTACTTAGCGTCTGGACAGAAGAGGCTCAGTGCTCACTTCTCAATGCATCCATCACAGAATCCTTCAACTGCTCGTTTAGCTGCGGTCCAGATTGCTGGAAAATCTCTCAGTACCCATGCCTCCAGGTGTACGTTAATCTCACCTCTTCTGGCCAGAAGCTTCTGCTCTACCACACCGAGGAAACAATGAAAATTAATTCTGAGGTAAGAGCATGGAATAAAATTTCTTCCTCAATGGGTTTCTGGAGGGGTGCTCACCTTGTTATACCCATTCTTCACTTTAAAGCAATATAAGGTTTCCAGCTCCTGCTTACCTGGGTAAATATGGAGCAGAGAAAGCAGAAATGAGTGCACAAATTGAGCTCACATCTCTGGAGCAGGGAGTTTCCCACCTCCATCTCATGGAGAGAACACAGCCCGCCCTGCACAGGATGGCACTCCGAGGGGCTTGACCCTCCCCTGTCCTTTGCCAGTACTTTACAGGTGCGGGCTAGCGCTGGGCACTTATCACATCGATATTCTTGTGGAGCTGTGGACAAGTCACTTCCCACCCAGGCATGGCTCCACATGATAGCAAACACCACGAGCGATGTGCCTGGAGTGTCCATGGTGGTGAGAATAGAAATGGCCTTATTACAGCGGGGCCAGGCAAGGCGACGGGGAGAGATGAGAGCCCAGTGTCTACCAGCAGACGTGTCTCTGTCTCGATCTCTGGTGACAGGCTTTGTGCCCTGAGCATCCCTGCTGAGGTCAGCTGTGCCGCTGGGGTCAAGGCACAGCACTTATCCCTGCGGATGGTGCAAAGATGCTGATAAGCAGGGACCGCTAAGATAAAAGCAACAGCATAAAAACAAGAGGCCTGGCTTTTGGGCATGTATAAACTAAGGAGTCAGCCCGTGTTTCTTGCACAACTTTCCTGATTCCAGACATTGACCCAAAAAAATGATTTTTAACAAATCTGCAGAAGAACTCCTCTCTCTGCTTCAGCAAGTACAAAATCCAGCGTAACTCCATCCAGGTGGGATGGAGACAGCTCCTGTCTGGAGGCTCTAATGAACGCAGCGGATGCACAGACTGTGTCTCCTCGCCAGCCCGCAGCCACAGCTGTGCAGCTGACGCAGCGCTCTGCATCACACCCAGGCGAGCGACGGCCCGTTGCCGGTGGCTGTTTGCTGCTCCGCATGGCAAGGCAGGATCCGACTAAGGAATGGCCCTCTCTCCATTTCCTTTCTTTGTATCCACAGCACCTGGGTACCTAGGCAATGCAGTGAGCCAGTGTGCAGCTAATTCATTAGACTTGCAAGTGCCAGATTTGCATTAACTACTTAGTTATCCAAGGTCACTGATCCCCAAACTACAGGCGCTTGGCAAAGTGCAGCCCGTAACAGCAGAGCCCCGGTTCAGGCTGCTGACAACGTAACCTACTGTGTTTCTATTTATGGCAGCAGTTCAGTAGACCAAATTACTTCTGCATATTAAGATGAAGCGATATTAAAATTAGTCAAAGCACAGAGTGGTTGCACCGGGCCGGTTATTCTGCTGGATAATTAGCTCCTGTGGCTGAGAGACGAAGTCCTCTGGATATGAAGTATGAAATGAAGAACAGTGCCCCATCTTCCCCTCCGTTCAGCATCGGTGCAGAAAGAAGGCACTCGCTGTTGCTGAAGCCTGCAGCAGGACAGACCCCGCTTTCTGCTGGGGCAGAAGTGAAATCTAGCGACGCCCATGCCGCAAGTCGATTAAAAGAGATCAGATCAGTCTCCGCGCTCCACTGGATTCAAATAAATCAAGAGATTCAGCATAAAGCTCCACATTCTGTTATTGATGATTTTTGCTTGCTGAAATGGACTTTGAAATTCTCCCAGACACCTCCTCCTCTTAATTTAATGTGGGCACAGTTAATACTTCTCCTGCCCAAGGTTGTTTTACAGGTTAAGCTCTGCTCTCAGGAGGATTCCTAGGTTTTCCTGGCATGCTGCTGGCTATGTGACCTGAATCCAAACATGATTCTGAATGGAAGTTTGCAACGTCTATGAAATACCTGACTTCTTGTGCCTGACTGGCATCAGCGGAGACACCAAGCTCAGCTAGCACACCCCATCTCAGCTCCCTGGACAGGCTCTCCCTCTCCCCTGGGCCCCGTGCAGCAGGACGAGCAGCCCTGAACACGGCTGGTTTGTGATGCTCCAGCTGGGTGCTAGCTGTCTCCTTCCATCCACCTACTCAGGTCTGCTTTTCCAATCTTCCTCCTTGCCAAATAAACAAACAGAAAAGCCATCCCTGGCTCACCGAGCCCTGGCGTTAGTGGGGATGTTGCAGACCACGGTGCTTACCCTCCGAGGCCAACACCACTCACCTGCAAAAGGGCAGCATCCCCCGCCAACCTCTCTGCCTCACTGAGCACCGCCGCGCACGCAGAGCGGCACCTGGAGCCCATCTCTCTCCTCTCCCCACCAGCGAGCCCGGATGGAGCAAAATGCACTTTGATTTTAAATAATGATTGACCTAGGAGACTTGCTGCCTAACCTAGCTGCCGGCCCACAACGAGCAGTAAGGAGTAGGTGCAATTTATATTGAAATCTACAGCGTGCTGCTGCCAGTCTCCAGCGGAAATCAGTGGGAAGTAAATGGATACCAGTCAAGTTCCTTGAGTCTTTCCCAGGAAAGCAGATGAGATTTTTAATGGCTTTTCATTGCTCTCACTGTGTATCCTTTTCTCTAGCCTTTAGGACGAGCCCAGCCCCTCATCAATACAGCAACCGTAGCAGCTTAAGTGCTTTCAGAGCTCCGCTTTCCTTTCTCAGCTGTCAAAGGCTGTAACAGCCCCTGGGAGAGGTAAATCGTCCGGTGTCCCATCGCACCCGGACCACAAGGCCAGGCTGTCATCCTGAGGAAGGGCTGCGGTAGTTAAAGCAGTTCTAGAGGCCCAGTTTCGATCTCATACTATATCATTTTGATTCTTTTCATGTCATCAGAACCACAGCTAATTTAAACCGTGCTCCATAAGTGAGGTAACAAGCAGTCTTTAATCACTGGAATCACCATTATGCCAGCTATAACTGCCTGAGACTCAGAAATGATGGGGGATGGTTTCCTGCTTAAGGTTCAGATATTTGTAACCTGAGGAAGGGTTTTTCTGGGGCAGGGGGAGCAGCGATGCTCGGCTGAGGTTCCCAGCAGACCCATTTTGAGGCTGGGACTAGAGAATTCAGTCTGCAAAGTAAATTGACATCCTGATCACCTTCTTACAAAGATTTCCACAGCACATCTTATCACATTTTCCAGGCTCAGCATGGACACAGACCCCAGCTGCAGACATGTGATGAGAGTAATGTGTTTCACTGTCCAGCCTGAACTGAGGGCTTTTCTGGCAATAGCGTTTTCAGTATAACATCATTGATTTAAATGAAACTGCCCCCAGCTTTCCTGGGGGTGCTGTGTGACCTTCACCCTTGGAAATACTCATAACTTGACTGGACAAGTCCCTGAGTAACTCTGCGCTGAGCGGGACATTGGACTGGACATGTCCAGAGGTAGTTCAAACAGGCTACCTATCCAATCCTTTAAATTAGGAAAGTAGAGCTGGAAATGTAACAAGTTCTCTTTGTAACTGTCTAATACATCCTGCTTGTGATCAGACTGCAAGTAACACAAGAACCACTTTTCTCACCTTGTATCACAGAATCCTCGCTTGAGGTAGGGAGGCAGACATTGTTTACTTTCAGACTTGCAGATTTCCAAGTGTTTGACAATGCAGAGGTGTAATAAAACAGCATGTAGATTTAGTAGTCTACATTCACAAATAGAGCATAGGAATTGTGGATATAGAATTCCCTGCCAGGCATTGGAAAAAACTAAATTAAGATCAAACCAAAGAAAACACTCAAAAATGTCCGGTTATCCGTATCTACCTACTTGTTCACCAATGACCTATGCAACACTAGCATGGCAGATCCCTGTGCTCTCCCTGGTATATCACTAGGGAAGCAAGGACATGGAGGGAAGGAGCACCCCACAAATTAATGCATACAGAGAGCCCTTGTGCCGAGGAGCTCCTCAAATCTGAGGCCAAAGCACCTCCAGGAGCTCAGCAGAAGCGGAACAAGGTAGACAGCACATGGAGTGAAGGGCACGCATGCTTTGGAGAGTGCATGGTGAGTACAGGTTGCCCAGAGAAGTTGTGGATGCTCCATCCCTGGAAGCGTTCAAGGCCAGGCTGGACGAGGCTTTGAGCAACCTGGTCTAGTGGAAGGTGTCCCTGCCCATGGCAGGGGGGTTGGAACTAGATGGGCTTTAAGGTCCCTTCCCACCCAAACCATTCCATGATTCTATGGGAGACCATAGCCTGGAGAGAGAGAGTTTCAGCACAAGGAGCCTGCCTGAGAGGCAAAGTGAATCAACCTCACTTGCACAACTGCATTTCACAGCTTCAGGCCACCAGTCTCTTGCCACAGGCAGCCCAACCAGCCCAACACTGTCGGTGGCTCTGTGCCACCAGATGTAGGAGGAAACAGCTCAAGTTCTGCCTCAGCATCAGGTCACCTTTGAAAATGTTTGGAAACTACTTGGACTTGCAGGCAGCCAGGCATCCCCCCACTGCACTCTTGGGACATTTCTGCAGACTTTGAGTCCAGGAATCTGTCACCATTTGGGCTTTTATGCCCCTGCTGTTTTCTATCAAGGGGGAAGGGCTGGACTTTGGCAAGAGTAGCCAAGTCCTCATTTCATTTCCTCCCCCAGGATACTTCATGGGACTTCAAGAAACAAAGATGTATAGCATCAAAGTGGCAAGAAGAAATAAAAACAACAACAGAAGCCTGAGCTGGAAATACTGTTGTTACAACAGTGATAGCACATAATTTAGTAAAAGAAAACAAGGTACACTTCACTGAGAAATTTCCCCTAATTATTAGATTATGAGTCATAGGCAGTGGAACAGGGCTTGTGGCTTTGGACATTTAAGACAAAGCTGGTCAGAGTGCAAGAGAGTATCTTGGAGGGAGCAGACCTGCACCAGCAGGAAGACGGATAAGATATTACTGCTCTGATATTTTACATCTCTAATTTCTAGACCTCTATGAAATATTCATAATGGCAGCGCTGCCATGCTTTACCCTTAATGCTCCAGTCTGCTAACGCCAGACAATCTTTCTGCTGTACTTCAAATCATATTCTGTGCTAATAAACTTGCCAATGAATCAATCAAATCCTGTTACAAGGTTAATCTTTTGATCATTATTAGGGCTAGAATTTTGTCACATTACATTACGAAAAGTCACAGCATATTCATGAAAAAGAACTGAGGGACATTTATAAAGTATATACATTAAAACAATAATTATCCAACGGCATGGGTCACATTATTTTAATCAAAACATCTTTTTTCCTTTGCTCTCATTAAATTATCTGGAAATACTTTGGGTGCTCACCCAGGATAAGCAGGT